CCCCACCACCAGCCCCCACCTCCCCACCCCCCTCCCCCCACCTCCCCACTCCCCCCAGCCCCACCCCACCACCCCCTCCACACACACCACACACATACACACACGCACGCGCACACCATGATGGCACACACTGCTCTGACTCTGACACTGGCCCTGGCCCTGGCGCTGGTGGTGACTGCTGCGACAGGCAAGGAGAGCGGGTGCCTGGGCGCGTTCGAGACTTGTCCCTTTTCCGGCGCATGCACCTTGTTTGCTGAAGACTGCCATGTGTGCGAGAGTGCGTCTGCTGGCGCGTACGTGTGCCCGGATCACAAGACTTGCGTGCCGTCTGCTGCCGAGTTTACCTCCTGCCCGGGCGTCAAGGGCACCCACTGGGATGTGAGCCTGTCGGTGGCAGAGCGCGTGGCGTATGTGGTCAATCGGACGACGGTCAAGGAGCAGGCGGCGCAGCTGTGGAACTGGGCGCCGGCGCTGTACGATCCGCCCATGCCGGCCTTCAACTGGCTGGACGATGACGAGCACGGCGTGAAGCAGCATCACGCTACTTCCTTCCCCAACGGCGGCTCGCTCGGCTCGACCTGGTCACCGGCAACGCTCGCGGCCGTCGGCAACGCGGTCGCCACCGAGGCTCGTGGCCTGCTCAACGGCTTTGTCCGTAGCGGCAACCGCGGCATGTACGAAAACGGCGTGGGCATCACGCTCTATGCGCCGAACATGAACCTCGTCCGCGATCCGCGGTGGGGCCGCGCCCAGGAAGTGTATTCGGAGGATCCGGAGCTCTCGTCGGCGCTGGTCACCGCCTTTGTGGAGGGCATCCAGGCACGGCACGCCAACGGATCGATGCTCGCCGCAGCGTGCTGCAAGCACTACGCCTTTTACGATCTGGAAAACGAGCCGGTCACCCGCTTTGTCTTTGACGCCCGCGTCAACGCCGCCAACACCTGGGAGACCTACCTCGCGGTCTTCCGCCACTGCATTGTGACTGCCAAGGGTGCCTCGGTCATGGCCTCGTACAACGCGGTCAACGGTGTGCCGACCGCCGCCGATCCAAACCTGCTCAACGGCGTCCTCCGCGACCGCTGGGGCTTTGAGGGCTTTGTCGTCGGCGACTACGACGCCGCCGCCAACATTGTCAACACCCACCACTACTGCCCCGACTACGAGTGTGCCGCGGCTGCGGCCTGGAACGCCGGCCTCGACCAGGAGGGCGGCGGCGTCGACGTCATCTCGGCCATTCCCGACGCCGTCGCCGCCGGCAAGCTCTCGGCATCGACCGTCGCCGCCTCATTTGGCCGCCTGCTGCGGACCCGGATCCTGCTCGGCCTGTTTGACCCGCCGACATACTCGGCGTACAACGCCATCGACAACTCGACCAAGTACGTCGAGTCGCCCGCCCACAAGCAGCTCGCCTTTACCGCCGCCGTCCAGGGCACGTGCTTGTACAAGAACGCGCGGAACGCTCTCCCGCTCGACGCCTCCACCGTCCAGCTCGCCGTCATCGGCCCGCAGGCCGCCGAGCAGGCGCTGCTGCAGGGCAACTACGCAGTCGCCCCTGACGCAGGCGTAGTGACCCTTCTCGAGGGCCTCGGCGCGTACGTGTCGGGCCAGAACGAGTCGCGGAGCTGCGCTTTTGAGGCCGACACCGACTACTACCTCGCCGGACAGGCCGGCGTGGCGGCCTCGTCGCCGGCGGTCTGCTGCTCCATGTGCTCGTGGAACCCCGAGTGCGCGGTGTGGACTTGGTACGAGTCGCAGTGCTACCTCAAGCCGGCTGGCCTCAAGCCAACCCACTCGCCTGGGCGGGTCTCAGGCAAGCCGGTGCCCTCGGGCTCGCCCCGTGTCACCTTTGCGCCGGGCTGCAACGCTGTCGGCTGCTCCGATGAGTCTGGCTTTGCCGCTGCCGGCACGCTGGCTGCCGCCGCCGACGCCGTCATCGTCGTCCTCGGCCTCAACCAGACCTTTGAGCGTGAGACCCACGACCGGACAACCATCGACTTTCCGCAGGGCCAGTACGACCTCGTCTCGTACCTGCGGTCGGTCACGACCGCGCCGCTCATCGGCGTCCTCGTCCACGGCGGCACGCTCGCCTTCCACGACATGGTCGACAACCTCGATGCTATCGTCGACGTGTGGTATCCTGGCGAGGAGGGTGGCAACGCGCTGGCGGCGGTCGTCTTTGGTGCAGCCAACCCGGCCGGCCGTACGCCGGTCACCTACTACGCCGGCGACTGGCAGCTCCCGCAGCCGGGCAACATGGACCTGTTCTCGGGCCTCGGCACCACCTACCGCTACTTTGTCGGCGAGCCGGTCTTCCCCTTTGGCCACGGCCTCTCGTACACTACCTTTGCGTACTCGGACCTGCGGCTGCCGACGGCGGCCATCGCGCCGTGCGCCGGCTTTACCGCCACCGTCCGGGTGACCAACACCGGTAAGCGCGACGGCGACGAGGTTGTCCAGCTCTACGTCTCGCTCCCGGACGCCACCGTTCCCACCGCCCACATCCGCCTCGCCGCCTTTGCCCGCGTCGGCATCGCCGCCGGCGCCTCGGTCGACGTCGCCCTCGACGTCTCGGCCGAGCGACTCTCGGTCGTTTACAACGGCACCGCCACCTCGGGCCCGGGGCTCTGGCAGCCGACGCTTGCCGTCGAAGCCGGCGCCGTTCACGTGGGCGTCGGCGGTGGCCAGCCGCATTTTTACCACGGCGCCCTCGAGGGCGTCGTCACCGTCGCCTCTTCCTCGACCGCCTGCAACTTTGGCGCGTAGCCATCGCGTCGCGCTTCCGCCGCCCCAAAGCCCAGCAGCATGTTAAAGATGATCATGGTCATGGCTGTGACGACGATGACGTGACTGATGAACGAATGGAGGGTATGAGAGTTAGAGGCGCGCACGATGATGATCGACGACAGAGCCAAAATGCTCGAGCATCTCGTCTCAACCTCGCCCCAGGCCGGACGTGCGGCAGCAGTCGTCACCTCCCTGGTCGTGACCAGCCAGCCAGCGAGTCAGCCACACGCAGACGCCGCGAGACGGCCCACACCCCTCTTCCCCGACAGACTAACTCATGTTCCGTCTCTCGACTGGTTCCACCTCTATGGTGCGGGCTGCAGTACGTACCAACCATGCCACCCCTCACTGTTTACCTTGCCTCTCCCCCTCCGGCCACTGCGTGTCCTCTGTATCCCCTCCACGGCCGCCGGCTTTGCCAGGACAAAGCCAGTGCGCGTCATCGCCGTTTGCTGCGCCAGCTCCTGTGGCGGGTGGGCATGGAGACTCTACAAGCTCCTCTGAGCTGTACACAGAGACACCACTCCTTCCAGCACCATCCCCATATACCTCCTGACATACGCTTCCTCCCCATGTGGTTTATATTCCATCCCCATGCCTGGACCCGCCACTCTCGAGGGGTGAAACTCGCTGGCCATCTTCACGAAGGTTGGCATCCCTCGCCGAATGCCTCCCATCCCTGTCACCAGCGCGACATGACATCATGGCGTCGTCAGCGGGGACGGGGATGGAGAAAGAGATCTGGGGAGGTGGGCTGGGAAGGAGATACCGTACAAACTCACGTGTACATGATACTTGCATGGTGGGTGGGGGGGTGTAATGACTTTGTGGGGGTCGGACCGAGTCCAGATTGCGGCGTCGCAGATGCGCTCCATGGCCACGGCCAAGGACGTCCAGTTTGGCTCCAAGGCCCGTGCCCTCATCCTGGCTGGCGTGGACAAGATCGCCGACGCGGTGCAGGTGACGCTCGGACCCAAGGGCCGCAACGTCATCATCCAGCAGGCGTTCGGCGACCCGAAGATCACCAAGGACGGTGTGTCTGTGGCCAAGTCGATCGAGTTTGCCGACAAGTACAAGAACCTCGGCGCGCAGTGCGTCCGCATGGTGGCGTCCAAGACCAACGACGTGGCCGGTGACGGTACGACGACGGCGACGGTGCTCACGCGCGCCCTCTTTGCCGAGGGCTGCAAGTCGGTCTCGGCCGGCCTCAACCCGATGGACCTCCACCGCGGGATCAAGAAGGCCGTCGACGCCATGGCCAAGGAGCTCAAGGACATGTCGACGCCGATCGAGACGACGGAGCAGATCGCGCAGGTTGCGTCGATCTCGGCTAACAACGACAACGAGATCGGGCAGCTCATCGCGACGGCGATGGAGCGTGTCGGCCGCGACGGCGTGGTGACGGTCAAGGACGGCCGCACCCTTGAGGACGAGCTCGAGGTTGTGGAGGGCATGCAGATTGACCGCGGCTACATCTCGCCGCACTTTATCACCGACGCCAAGACTGCGGCGGTGACGTTCAAGGACGCGTACGTGCTGTGCTTTGAGAAGAAGATCTCGACCATCCAGTCGATCGTGCCTGTGCTCGAGAAGGTGGCCAAGGCCCAGAAGCCGCTGGTCATCATCGCTGAGGACGTCGACGGCGACGCGCTCACCACCCTGGTGGTGAACAAGCTCCGCGGCATCACCCAGGTCGCGGCGGTCAAGGCTCCGGGCTTTGGCGAGAACCGCACCAAGTCGCTGCAGGACATTGCCATCCTCACCGGCGGCGAGCTCTTCACCGAGGAGTTTGGCCTCGCCCTGGAGGAGGCCTCGCTCGACGACCTCGGCACGGCCAAGGAGATCGTCATCAAGAAGGACTCGACCCTCATCATGCACGGCGGCGCCGAGCCGCAGGACATCGAGGACCGCGCGGGCGCCATCCGTGAGGCTATCTCCAACTCCAAGTCGGATTACGACAAGGAGAAGATGCAGGAGCGTCTGGCCAAGCTCTGCGGTGGCATCGGCGTCATCCGCGTTGGCGGCGGCTCCGAGGTCGAGGTCGGCGAGAAGAAGGACCGCATCGAGGATGCGCTCCACGCCACCCGCGCCGCCATCGATGAGGGCATCGTGGCCGGCGGTGGCTGCGCCCTGCTCCGCGCCTCCAAGGTCCTCGACGCCGTCGAGGTCGAGAACTTTGACCAGCAGGTCGGCGTCAACATTGTCCGCGCGGCCGTCCAGGTCCCGGCCAAGTCGATTGCCAACAACGCCGGCCACGAGGGCGCCGTTGTCGTCGGCAACATCCTCCGCTCCGACGACGTCTCCTACGGCTTCAACGCCCAGTCTGGCGAGTACGTCAACATGATCGACGCCGGTGTCATCGACCCGACCAAGGTCGTCCGCACCGCCCTCGTCGACGCCTCCTCCGTCGCCTCGCTCCTCACCACCGCTGAGGCTTGCGTCGTCGACGACCCCGACGAGAAGGACGATGCCGCTGGCGCCATGCCGATGGGCGGCATGGGCGGCATGGGCGGCATGGGTGGCATGGGCGGCATGGGCTTCTAATCTGTGCTCTAAACGCGTGCAACCGATACCACCACAGAGACGAGGTGAGGTGTAGCCCTTCCCCTGCCTGCCTGCCGCCCCGCCCGCACCTGGAATACACTCCACTCCACCCCCACCTCCCCTCCACCCCTACCACCCCCATCGCCACCACCACGACACATACACCATCGCACATGTCATCCCCACCGACATCACAGATAGTGGATGAGGCAGGCAAGGCAGCTGCGCGTGCTGCCTTTGACGAGACCAACGAGGTCATTGCCGTCGACTCGGCCAATGACCTCTATGCCTACAACGAAGAGGAGATCCAAAAGACACTCAATGAGAAGAAGTGGAAGAACGAGTACGTATTGAAGGAGAGGGGGGGAGGGGGGAGGGGAAGGGGAAGGGGGGAGGGGGAAGGGGGGAGGGGAGGGGGAAGGGGAGAGGGGGGGGATTACCTC